CACACAGGTTTCTAGATCAGGTTTTCACTCAGATGCACATATTTCTGTACTTCCTGCTCCCAGTATTTTGAATTATTTGCAGTATTGGGCACATCTTCAAACTGCGCTAAAATTGTGGTGCATCCAAAGCAGGTTTCATCAGCAATACTAATAAAGGAATCACCTCTCCTGCATTTGTATTGTGTAAAGACCACATGGTTTTCTTTGGGTTTTGGGGGGGGGCTGTAAAGGATACCAGATAAGCCACCCCCACACCACCAAGGAGGCAGCATGAGCTGCTAACATCAGCCAAGCAGGACTGCAAACTGAAGAAAACATCTGTTTAATGGTGCTAGGTAGCACTATTAATTTGGCTTTAATTGGCTTCTCTTGCCTGGTAGGTAAACAAATTCTGACCTCAGTTTTCCTATGAAGGCTGCCATAGTTCTGTATTGCCTTTTCCCTAGGCCCCAGCCAAACGTGAACCTTCTGTTTCACAAGCAGGTCATTGGTGGAGGGGGGAAGTATATACAGATTATTTGGTGGCTCATTGTTTGAAGAGCTGGGTAGAAAATTCCAGTCCATTGTTGCCAGGGGTGAAACCACCACCACCCTAAAGGCCATTTGCAGCTAGTGTACACCTGAGGTGAAACCCATGGCACAATATGTTTTCAATGTACACTCATAAGAATATTAGGATGGAAAGACTTTTTTCACCCTTCAGGATAAAATTATGTTCAGTAGTGAGACTCTCATTGGTCACTATTATTCAGACATTTTTAAAATAAAATGGAATAAGATACAATATACAAAAAGTTAAAATAGTTATAAACTATCAAATTTGAATTCTTTCAGTCTGTGACACCAGACATGGTGGACAAAGCACTTGATCCCTGTTGGGCCATCACCTCCTCCCTTGACCCTTGCCCGGCCTGGCTAATCAAAGCAGCCAGGCCTATAACAATGGAATGGGCCACAGTGATAATTAGTGGGTCTCTCCAGGAGGGCAAGGTTCCCCTGGCCCTCAAGGAGACACTCATTAGGCCCATCAGGAAGAAACCAAATTTGGCGGCAGGCGATATTGGCAATTATAGGCCCATCGCCAATGTTTCTTTCCTTAGCAAAGTGGTGGAGAGGGTAGTGGCTGATCAGCTGCAGGCTCTTTTGGATAAAACCAATGAGCTGGATCCGTTCCAGTCGGGCTTCAGGCCGCATCATGGCACAGAAACAGCACTGGTCGCACTGATGGATGACCTGTTGAGGGAGGCTGATGGGGCAAAATGTCCTTGTTGGTCCTCCTCGATATCTCAGCGGCCTTCGATAACATCGACCACGGTATCCTCCTGGGGAGGCTCTCCGAGCTGGGAATCCGTCTAGTGCTCACCTGGTTCCGATCCTTCTTAGAGGACCGTCCCCAGAGAGTACAGCTTGGGAAGAGCGTTTCGGCCCCGTGGAGTCTCAATTGTGGGGTTCTGCAGCGCTCGATCATCTCTCCAATGCTGTTTAATATCTATATGAGGCCACTGGGTGGGGTCATCAGGGGGTGTGGGACTTTGTGCCATTAATATGCTGATGACACCCAGCTCTACATCTCCTTTTCACCTACCTCAGTGGATGCTGTTCTGTCCCTTCAGCGCTGTCTGGAGGCTGTGCTGCAATGGATGCAGCTGAATGGGTTGAGGTTGAACCTGGACACAACGGAGGTCTTGAGGGTGGGTGGCCCCTCCCTCGGCAGTTTGGGAAACTCCCTCTCTTTTTTGGGGGGGTGACTCTCACCACAAAGAGTGTGGTGCGCAGCTTGGGGATACATCTGGACCCGGCGCTTACCATGGAAACCCAGGTGGCATCCATGGTCCGCTCCGCCTATTTCCATCTGTGGCGGATTGCCCAGCTGCGATCCTGTCTTGATGGCAGGGCTCTCACTACTCTTATCCATGCGCTTGTAATCTCGAGATTAGACCACTGTAATGCACTCTACGTGGGGCTACCTTTGAGATTGATGTGGAAGCTTCAAATGGTGCAGAATGTGGCGGCCAGACTCCTTAGTGGGGTGAGAAAGTACCAGCATATCTCTCCCACTCTGGCTGCCTTGCATTGGCTGCCCATTCGCTTCCGCATTGACTTCAAAGTGTTAATGATGACATATAAAGCCCTAAATGGTTTTCCATAAATCAGCTTGAGTGGCTGGGGGGGTGCTAAGAGAATCAGTATGATATTGCAATACATAATAAAAGGAAGTTGGGTTTTATAAAAGAATTGTAGGTCATCATGATGGTGATGATGATGATGATGATGCCACATTTATCCCAACAAGGGACCCAGCGTGGCTCACAACATTAAAATTCACACAATTAAAAAAATAAGTTAAATATTAAAAGATAAACAATATTAAATTAAAAGGTTAGAACATTAAAACAAGGAAAGATTAAAATTATTTGCTGAAATGGGATTCAGGGATTCAGTTGTAATTGTTAAAAACCTGCCTGAAGAGATGGGTTTTTAGCTTTTTTGGCAAGGATAACAGGGAAGGGGCCATCCTGATCTCCCGAGGGAGAGCGTTCAATAACCTGGGAGCAGCCACAGAGAAGGCCCTCTCCCGTGTCCCCATCAGCTGTGCTTGTGCTGGCAATGGGACCAAGAGGGCCTCCTCTGCTGATCTTAATCGCTGAAAAGGCACATATAGGGAGATACAGTCCTTCAGATAGCTATACTGAAGTTCTCTGCTGTGAGAGGACAGTAAGTTTTTCCATCAAAGCTATTTTTCATACCTTTGATTCCCAGTCATTGAAATTTCTGCAGCTGTCTTCCAGTATTGAGCAACTGTTCGTCCAGCTGCTACACAGACAAAAGTAATGAGCTCTTTGTGGTGTACTAGTGCATTGGAATCTAAGAATATATTCATTAATCCCCAATGCTGGACTTACAGCCATACTTTGTGATGTTATATTTCTATTTTTTTCCAAACTGCTTGACCCAGAAATTATTCATTCTAGGGCAGTGCCATCAGGAATGCAAATATGTACCAATTTCTTTACAGCCAACAACTTGGGTCAAAATTTTTGTTTATATGATTCAATTTCAATGCAGGGACGTGGTGGCGCTATGGGCTAAACCGCAGAAGCCTGTGCTGCAGGGTCAGAAGACCAAGCAGTCGTAAGATCGAATCCACGCGACGGAGTGAGCGCCCGTTGCTTGTCCCAGCTCCCGCCAACCTAGCGGTTCGAAAGCATGCAAATGCGAGTAGATAAATACAGTAGGTACCATCTCGGTGGGCAGGTAAACAGCGTTCCGTGTCTAAATCACACTGGCCATGTGACCACGGAAAGATTGTCTTCGGACAAACGCTGGCTCTATGGCTTGAAGAGCGGGATGAGCGCCGCCCCCTAGAGTCAGACACGACTGGGCAAAAATTGTCAAGGGGAACCTTTACCTTTTTATAATACCATCAGTGTGCCATTTTGAGGCAATGCTCTCTTACTATAGTTTTGATTGATTTCAAGTTTCTTACTCCACAACCTTTTCCAGTCTTCATCTCTGATAGTCTTTCCAACGTCTATCTCCTAGACATCTTTGAACCCACTTATATTACTGTATAGAGTGTAAATTTAGACTGAGTAGATCTTAGCACTCAGGCCCAATTTATATGGTGTTCATTATTAGTGTCACATTGACTCGGGAATGTAAAAAATTGTGTGGATTTGAAAAACACATTGTTGGCAGGTCTGTATGGTACAGCCATTTTGTTGTACAATGTGGAGGAAAAAAACACAAAGAAATAAAGGTTGGGACTTTTAGTATTTTCTCTGGTCCCTTTATCTCCAAAGTGACCAAAGAAAGTACTCACTGTCATGACCTACATTCCTTTGTCAGTGTGTTATATGTATAGTGAACAGAGGTTTTGTAGTGGGCTTCCTTTTTAACACAATCATATAAGACATACAATATGCAACAGTATGAATCTGGGAAAATCTCAAGCTCTCAGTACTGATCAAAGTTTTTTGGCATAGGAATATGTCAAAGGTTTTATAACATTAATAGTTTAAAGTTAACTCTTGGCATTACTTCAAACCAATTATGCAAGATCTGTCACAAGTACCTGTTTTATCTTATCTGAATGGCTATTTTATCCTGTAAATGATTTAGGTCTACACTATTTGTTTGTTGTCTAAAAAGAGATAGAAGAGAGATTGTTCATTCTTTATGCTGCAGGGTTGTTCTTAGTTTCTTTTGGCTGACTTAACTGGCACAAGGAGCAAGAAGTGCCAGTGTGCCATAAGCTCTCAGATGCTCCATTCAGCATGCCTTAAGTGGGAGTTGAGACCTATCCATGGTGTTTCAAGTTTTGGCTGATATGCAACTCATTGTAAACACCTCCACCTGCTAGTAGTTAATCTCAGGATCTCTTATTTAGAGACAGTTTTACTCTTACACCTAAAAGTTTTACTTTTAGAACATAGGAGGTTGTCTTATTCCAAGTCTGATCATTTATCTGTCTGACTCAGTATTGTCTACATTGCAGTCAGCCCTCAACGTATTCCCCCATGAGCCACACAGAAGGGGCAAACATTGTTACCTCTGACAAAGTATGAAGTATAAATAAATGTTTAAACTTGAAGCAGAAAAGGGAACCTCTGAGGTATAAAATAGAGAGGTGAAACAGAATTCACTTTCTAGCTCCCTTCAGCAAAAAAAGGAGCAGCAAGTCACACAGGTAGTGAACAGCTTTCTCTTTGAGCTCACAGGAGCTTTTAATGACTATTATTTTTACATGATCTGTCAGCAAAACAGTGTGCTTGGTTTTAGCTTCTAACATTGCTGTTGGTGCTGCTTTAAAAGGAATTAGCTCTTCAGAGAGGGATTAATAAATCTGCTCTTGTTGCAGATTCTTGAACCTAGCTGGTAACTGTCATGGAGGAATTTAGAAGATTCATGAATTCTGCTACTAAATGTTATGTTTATTCTGTTCCCCTTCTTATGGTCTCAAGAGTGTTCATGTCTGCTTTGCTTTGAAATTGTTCCAGGGCTTGCAAGATGAGATTGAAAACTATTGCAATCAGGTTCGCTCTGCAGAAAAGAGACTGCAACAGAAAGATCTGGAGAAAGAGGACCAGGTATAATCCATTTGCCTAACAATTTTCTGCCTTTTCTGCCCTTTCTCACTGAGCTTCTGTCCTTGAGCATGGACAAAGAATGTACAAATATGTATGAATATACATATACACACATATATGCATATACATATACTTATAAGGATTTTCTCTCCTGACTACTTACTTTCTTGCTGTGTTATTTTTTTGTTATTGTTGTTTAGTCATTAATTCGTGTCTGACTCTTCGTGACCCCATGGACCAGAGCATGCCAGGCCTTCCTGTCTTCCACTGCCTCCCAGAGTTGGGTCAAATTTACGTTGGTAGTTTCGCTGACACTGTCCAACCATCTCATCCTCTGTCGTCCCCTTCTCCTCTTGCCTTCACACTTCCCAACAGCAGGGTCTTTTCCAGGGATGCTGTATTATTAGGGTGCATCATATTTCTGTTTGGTTTTAATTTTTTGCCTGAACCCTGAGGAAAAGGTTTTACACAGTGGGTTTTTTCCCTAGCTGCTTGTTTTAATCATCTTAGGTTTTTAAAATGTACATATTATTTGTAAATGGCAGTATTGGCTGCAGTATATTTTCAAGTATTTATTCATGTGAGTATTTCAACAACTTTCAGAAAAGATCTGCTGCTCAACCTATAACTTTAATCTCATACTCTTATGTAATAAATTATTCTAAAAATGAATGATGATATGATCAGACATAGCACTAAACCATTCTCTTGAGTTACAGGGATGAGCAGGCATCAGTTCTGGCTACACAAACTGTTTGTTTGTCTGTCTGTCTGTCTGTCTAAAATATGTTTACCCTGCCTTTCTCCTTAAAAGGGGCCAAGGCAGCTTACATCATTAAAAGGCAACATTTTAAAACTAAAAACAATACATGTATAGGTGCTAAAAAGGATCAGACAATTACCACTCTGAGCAACAGTAAACAAAAGCAATACTACAAAACACATTCAAAACAAAATCCCACCCAGGCAGCCAGTTACACTGTCCTTTACTTAATGCTTGAGGAAACAAAGTTTAAAACTTCCATCTCTAGTTTTTCCCATTAAGTCTGAATATGGGAGAATTCTTCAAACAACTGACTGTTCACAAACTGGGATAGTAAAACATGACTTGAGTGAACTAACTACAGTTTGAAGAAATCATGGTGGCCTGTATTCTGCCATAATTAGAAGCTGCAGATCATTCAGATTGTAAATAGAAGCTTTTCATGTACTGCTTTCATGCTTAAAGGAAGGAAAGGGGAACACACAACCATAAGGAGTATGTTTGCTCATTAACTCAACACTAAAAAATGGTTTGCCATCAAGTTGGATACTTGAAGTATTAAAACACTTACTAGGAGCACACTCTTTTTGAATGGGCTTTTTCGTGGTTCCCATGTGAAGTGGAAACATCTCTGAAAAATGAACCCAAGCTGTTGGATTTGGACTGTGTCATACCTAATGATGCACAAATTTTATCTGAGTAGTTTCAACCGTGAAGGACTTGAGTCATTTAAAAAAGCTCCTTCTGTTCAGTGGGGGGCTGACTAAACTATCATGTGAGAAAGTGATTTAGATCTAGTATTTAAGATAGGAGAATATGTAAATAGGCTGGAGTACATAGCATTTTTTTTTCCAAAGTTGCATTCTTCCTTAACTGTTCCTACCAAAACCACCAGAAACTAACTAATCTTAACTAGAAAAGAGTAAAATTAAATATAAAGTTCTGTTATAATCTATCTGAACTGTCATTTTCTGAACTATTTCTAATTCATTAGTATTTAAAACATTTCTAGGAACTGCTGGATTGATCAGAGGTTTAATGAATTAATCAGTTACTTGCCCAGATAGTTGTTTCCATTGATCATTTTCCTGTGGCTGATAGGTGGGTCAAAGGACAGCTGTAGTAATTAACCTTTCAGTTTCATCCATCACTTAAAAGAACATAATGGTGAGCAGCTGTCTTGAAATGACAGGTCATCTCATTGTCAATCCTTAGTTAGAAGAGTCACAGATATACCAGCTCTGGGGCATGCCAATAATAATGGCCAGTTCTAGATCAGTAGATGAACCAGACATGATAATCAAGACACTTCCTTGTACTTTTTTTCTTATTTGTGCCAAATATTGTTGCCTCAATATTATATTTTACAAAGGTTCAAAATTTGCTTTGACACAATTACAAAATGCCATTGCCTGGGCTTTTACAAGTCTGCTTCAAGAGGAAAAAATGCAGGTTTAAATAGCTGCTGTTTTTCATTAAAAGGAAAAGTCTTGTGTTTTGATTCTATAACAACAACAAACAAATGAATGAGACATGAAACATTGTTGTGTTTTTAATTAAGAACACAAATCTGCTTCTCATTATTTCTTGTTGGGTGGTATCTTAGTTCTTCACGTTTGTCTTGTTTTTAGATTAGGCACGTTTCTATCTTTGTTCTCTTGTTTGATGTATTTATTCATTAGGGGGCAAACTATACATTACACTGTACTCAGATGTCATAGAAACCCTATGGCATATTATCTGTTGTCATATTTGTCCAGAATGTTGGTTAGGTTAAAATCATTGGTGAGGGAGTAGACTTGGAAAAGGAACAGAAGATGAGGGTTCTTCTTCGTGGCCTCTGTGAATGCACACAAATGGGTTGTTCTGCGCCTGCACTGAATGTCTAAGAAGAGTCTAGAGCTTAAAGACACATGATTAGTTGGACGTTCCCCCATGGAGCGCATGCTCCGGCCATCCTTGATTCCCCTCAGTTCCTTTTTTTCTGCTATGTCGTTTAGACCAGTGGTCCCCAAGCTTGGGCTCTAGATGTTCTTGGACTACAACTCCCAGAAGCCTTCACCACCACCCTTGCTGGCCAGGATTTCAGGGAGTTGTAGTCTAGGAACATCTGGAGGCCCAAGGTTGGGGTCCACTGGTTTAGACGTCCTCCAGAAGAATTGAGCGATTGTCAGTGAGCTTGAGATTCTATTTGATTCTAAATCAATCAGTACTTCAAATTCACCTTTTTTTATTTCCAATCATCGAATGGAAGTTCCCCTGTGAGTTTGTTCTATTTTTCACTAGCCGCGTTTTTGTTTCCTGCCCCCCGCTCTCAAGCCATTTCTCCCCTCTTTTTTCCTGCTCTTTGTGGCCTCTCCAGGCCCGTTTAAGTGGTGTGTTGTGTGTTCTAATAAAATACCATTAACAGATGGACACAGCCACTGTTTATTTTGCCTAGTTGAACAGCATCCCACCCACTCTTGTATGACGTGCAAGAGACTGACAAAGACAGCCCTCAAACTTCAGCTCCAAAGACTTCAGTCTTACCTGTGGGAGAAGTCTCTTAACCCTCCCTCAGCTTCAATGGAGACCACACGATCTCCAGATCCTCCAGTAGAGGGGCAAATTCAATCTCAGCCTGCTCCTGGTTCTGTGACTCCTTCTCTGCACCCTAAGGAGAAGTCTGACAAAACTAAATCAACGTCAAAACCAAAATTGGCATCGATGTCGAAGACTTCGGCTCAAGCCTCGGAGTCATCTGGAAAGAAAAAAGACCAAACAACTTCTAAAAGGGCAAAACGGATCAAGTCTACCCAAATCGACCCTCCACGACCAGCTTTGCAATCTCCTATCATGGAGGAGTCTTCTAGAGATGCTCCAGGATCCACATCGGAGAGGGAAGAGCCACAATTACCATCGGCCCAAGCTCCAGTTTCAACTGGTAGTTTGTCGCCTCACACCGGCCTTTCTATGGCTGACCTTCTCTCCAGTCAGGCCTTGGCCCTTTCTAGCCCTTCATCAAGGCTAGCAATTGCAATAGAGCTGTTGGGCTCGGAGTAATCCCATTATTCACCTAGGAAGCACCAAGAGAAGCACAAACATCTTTCACCTCCTTGGTACATGCCTCTATACTGGGATTATTACCACTATCCCCAATCTCCACAATATCATCTTCGTGGTGAACGGAGGAATAGATACCATTACTACGATCCTTACTCTACGAGCCTAGAGTGGTCCTAGCCGCCTAGAGTGGTCCTCGATTGACCAGATAGGTGGGATACAAATAAAATAAATAAAATAAATACTTACTGGAAGAACCTCAGAATTAGTTTTACTATGACAAACCAAAATGAGTGAGATACACACTGCCCTATCAGTCCAGGTATTCACCATCACCATCTCCTCCTCGACCTCTGCATGGACACTGATCACAACAGTCCATGCCCGCTTATCCTGCAGCTCCGGTCCCACATAAACCGACCTTGAAGCGCTCGATCCTGACAGTCCAACACTCTCATTCCAAACAGTCAAAACAATCCTCCAAACACCAGTCTTCGGTCCAAGTCACCACTACATACACAGGTCCCCATCCCTCAGCCAAACCAGAAATATGTCTCTCACGTCCTTCACTTCAGCTTCAACCGCCATCTACCAGACCTTCACTACCAAGACCCAAGGACCTATCAACATCTACATCATCATCTTCCATCCAGGAATTAGAATCAAAATCTTCACAGGGATCACCTTCTAATCTTCCCACATCCACTTTTGATGTTAATGAAAACCACCTTCCATCCCCGTCTGAAGACTTTACCTCTTATTCTCAATTGATTTCAAGAATGGCCAAATCACTTCAATTAGACATCGAAGAACCATCACTGTCCAAGACTGATTTGATTTTTTATGACATTAATCAAGAAAAAACTCCCCCACTCAGTCTCGCCTTCATCTCGGCCATGTTAGAACTGATTAAGGAATCATGGGATAAGCCTCTATCTTCTCAGGAAATCTCAAGAAGGACTGAGAATCATTACAAAACACATGGACCTGTCACCAGTTTCCTTACAAAGCACCCTACACCCAGTTCTCTAATAGTAGAGTCTAATCAGTCTAGAGCACGAAACAAATCTTCAGTTGCCCCAACCAACAGAGAAGGCCAGAAGCTCGACATACTTGGCAGGTGAATTTACTCCCTTACATCATTTGTTCTGAGAGTCACAAATTACCCAGCAGCAATGGGAGCTTACCAATGCCA